GCATGAGACAAGTGCTCGGGCCTGGTGCACTGGGAAGACCCAGAGGGATCGGGTGGAGAGGGAGGTGGGAGGGGGGACCGGGATGGGGAATACATGTAAATCCATGGCTAATTCATTTCAATGTATGACAAAAACTACTGTAATGATGTAAAGTAATTAGCCTCCAACTAATAAAAATAAATGGAAAAAAAAAAAAAGAGTATTTACACGATATGCAGAAGTGAGTCTCCCTGAGAAACAAAAGAATGCCCTGCAGTTCCTGAGACATGATAGACAGATCGGCCTGAAGGGAAGGAGAGATGTGAAGTGTGATTACAGAGGTGTGGCGGTATAGTTCCTAGTTGGGGGTAAGAATTGTTGATGGAGTTTTGTCTGGAAAAACAGAAAGAAGCCTGTTGTTGTAGACGAACGTCAGAAGTGGTGGGTGTTAAGGAGCAGTAACCAGGCTAGATTTGGAGGGTGGTCTTGGGATAGTAATAGAAGCTTTGAATTTTGAGAGAAGGTCTCTCCCAAGAATAGGAGTGGGGCATTTTGGGAGTATGAGAAAAGAATGGGAAAATGGAGTGTCTTGAAGTGTGCAAGGTAGAGGTTCGGTTATTTGTGATGTAGATATTAAACCGTCAACCCCCATAACAGAGACCTGGGAGACCTTGGTTTTTCTGGAGTAGGCAGGCATAGCAGAGCAAGTGGCCCCCGTGTCAATGAGAAAGGAGGTCGGCTTACTTGGCACTGTAAGAGTTACCCTGGGCTCTGTAGCAGTGATGAGTCGGGGCCTGGGGCCCTGGGCACCTTCAGTCTTCAGCGGCGAGTCGGAGGAGGCTGGGCAGAGCTGGGTCGGAGGACTCCTGCTGGGGACCAGGAGGGGGTGTCCGGATCCCTGGAGGGGGTTTTGGGCAGTCGACCTTCCAATGTCCCTTTCTGCCACAGCTGGGACGCGGACCTGGAGGGGCCTTGGTTTAGGCATGAGCAGCCCAGGGGCCTTCTTTGGAAGGAAGCAGGGCCCAGGCGGCTTCCTTTCTTTGTTGGCTGATGGAGGCTTGGAGCCATGTAGGGCAGTGGATAAAAGTGGTACTTGGCTTGATCTCATTGGGCCTTCTCTAGTTTTGCCTGTTCGTCCCAGTTATTGAAAATCTTAAAGGCTAACTTGAAAAGGTCTCGTTGAGGGGTTTGAGGGCTTTCTTCTGCCTTTTTTAGTTTCTTTTGGATATCTGGGGATGACTGGGAGATAAAATGGGTGTTAAGAACAATGGTACCCTCTGCTGAAGTGGGGTCTAATTTCGTATATTTTTGTAGGGCTTCCGTTAACCTGGCTAGAAATTGTGCTGGGTTTTCATCTGGTCTTTGGGTTATTTCCTGGAGCTTATCGTGTTGATGGCTTTATGCCCTGCCTTTTGACGGCCCACAATGAGGCAAGCAACCATGTGATTACCAGCTGCTCGTCCAGGCCTCCCTGCCTGATCACCCCAGTTGGGGTCTCTCGGGGACAGCCGTGGCCCCTACGCCTTCGTGTCCTCCGTCCTGAGCATCTCAGCAGCAGGCGCCTGAGCGGCTTGCCACACTCGTTCCTTCTCTTCCGGGAGAAGAGTCTTGGAGAGGATGATGTAAATCGTAAGACTGGGTAAGATACTTGAATTCTTTTAGATAGTTATCAAGGTCTGAGGAGAAGGAGCCAAGATGCTTTTTGGCCTCAGACAGATCGGTGAGGGAGAATGGGACATGAACCCGAACAATACCTTCTGCTCCAGCTTCTTCCCCTGAAGGGAGGAGAGGGGCAGGGGCAGGGGCGGGGCCCTGCGGTGAAGTTTCCTGTTTTAAACTTGTTTAGGACCCTCGGCGAGGGGATCTAGGGAGGTCGGGGTAGAGGATGGGGCTGAGGTCTCAGAGCTTATCTCAGGCACAGGCTGGGGCAGGGGTTTGGGAGCTGGGGCGGGGGAGGCCTGCTCTTGAGAAGGAGGGAGGGAAGGGGGAGGGCATGTAAGGCGGAGGTTGTGGAACTGGATCTGGAGCAGCTGCAAGGGGATTGGGAGCGATAGGGGGTGGGCTGTGGTCGGAAGGATGGAAGGAAGAAGAAAAGTCTCAACAGGGATCAGGAGACATTGTATTAGGAGGATGTGGCCCAGAGAGGGCTAAGAGTATTTAAGAAGTAGAACAGGATTCACAGAGAGCGAAGAGCAAAGAAAACCTGAACATAAGGGATTTCTAACCCCTTGCCACTGTGGTGGCAGAAGTTATCGAGGTCCTGTAGAGTAGTATAATCAAGAGTTCTGTTTTCTGGCCATTGGAAGCCATTGGAACCTGTTACCAAGTCTGTATTGTGACCAGACAGTGTTAGAATAGTAAATAAGTCATTTTGGTCTTATCTCCCCTTGGAAGTCTGAAGCTTTCAGGTTTTGGAGAAGGCATCCTAGAAGAGTAGATTTTTAGGGCTGGGATAGAGTATTTCCCTTTGTGGCCGAATAGGGAGGTCAGAGTCGGACACGACTGAGCGACTTCACTTTCACCTTCATGCATTGGAGAAGGAAATTGCAAACCATTCCAGTGTTCTTGCCTGGAGAATCCCAGGGACGAGGGAGCCTGGTGGGCTGCCGTCTATGGGGTAGCACAGAGTCAGACACGATTGAAGCGACTTAGCAGCAGCAGCAGGATGGTTAGACATGGGCAAGAGAAAGTGAGGAGAAAGGTCCGAGAGAAAAGGCATCCCTGTTCTCAGGACTTTCTCAGAGAGTAATAATAGTCTGCTTTGAAATGGGCGTACCCTATTTCAAAGTCAGACAGGGTACAAGGCCGAGGGCCGTGGAGATCCTCCCGCCAGCGCTAGGACTTGGGAAGCGAGAGAGAGAGAGTGTCCGAGGGAATGGGATTTCACTCATCCTTGTAACTGATGGATGAAAAGTGGGCCGGGGTGTGGATGTCAGTCCAGCAAGGCAAGTGGAGAGTCCTGTCCTGGATCTCGTCTCAGGGACCCGTCGCAGGGTCCCAGGGAGGGGACCACAGGAGGTGGGCTCAGGAGAGGAGACCACCCAGGTGCGGTGATCTTCTCTCCAGGGTTTCGGCACCAGAGTGCAAGGCGAGTGCAGAGCCAAAGAAAGCAAGCCCCGCAGTAAGACAAGAAAAGGGAAACTTATTAGGGGGAAAAGAGAGGGTGACTGGCTCTTAAAGAGAATCAGTGTCCTCCTTTTCTGACGGAGTCCTTCTTATACCCCACCAATGAAAAATTCTCGGAAGGGATTCGCTGGAGGTCTGGAATCTGGTGGTCTTGCAGCTTTGAGAAGATAGGCTCCAGTGAGATAACAGGATCCCATTTGGGCAATTTGGTCAGTCTCAAGGATCACTGTGATTTATTCTCTGCGAGGTCAACATAACGAGCCATCTAATCAGTGAGACCCCATGTGGACCCTATCAGAAACATCAATCCACTCCAGTATTGTTGCCTGGGAAATCCCATGAACAGAAAAGCCTGGAGAGCTACACTTCATGGGGTTGCAAAAGACTTGTACATGACCGCGCAACTAAGCACGCGTAAGCACAGCCAGGAGTGGCTTTCAGTCCAGGAGCAGGAGATTCATGGAAGACTGGCTGGGGTAGTGAGCTCCTGAACCCATGAAAGCGTGGTGCCTCCTGCCAACAGAGGGAGCAGAACCTGTGGGAGGCAGGGTTCTGGCTGCCATCAGTCTGCTGATAGCATTGGGCCAGATGTCGGTCAGGAAATCGAGGGCAGGAGGACGGGTTGAGCTTAAGCCTGGGGCCTGCTGTCACTGTGAACCAGCACATCAGCTCAACACCAGGGACAGGGACTTTCCTGGAGGTCCAGTGGTTAAGAATTCACCTTCCAGTGCAGGGGACGAAGGTTTGATCCCTGGTTGGGGAACGAAGATCTCATATGCCATGGGGCAACTAAGCCTGTATAGCACAACTAGAGAAGCCTGAGCTCTGCAACAAAGACCCAGCACAGCTAAAATTGAAAAAAAAAAAAGCCAGGGTGGAAGAAGAACCAGGGTCCTTGTGTCTGAGACAAG